GACAATAGCTTGGTTTCTGCAAGGTAAATAATTAAACATTAAGGACAATGTGAACAGATTTCAGAGAAAGCTATATAACCAAAAGCAATAGGTTCACATCTTGATGAGTGCAAAGCCAAAAGGCACAGTTGGGGGATAAAAGAGTTGAGAAAGAGTTATATGACCTGCAGCACTGGGATTATTTCCAAATCAACACTTTTCCCAAGAAAAGGAGGCATGGGATTTTATTCAGGGATCCTATAATACTCATATAGGAAAACACATTGGCAGGACACATTCCTGAGTATGCTCAGTTGAAGATGTAAAGCCTGGCCTGATGGAGAAAGCCTGTAAACCTACCACTCAGAAGGCTAAAGCAGGAGTACGGAGAATTAGAGGACAGACTGGGCTACAAAGAAAGACCCTGCCTCAAAAAAAGAAAAGAAAAAAAAAAAACAAAACATGAACATTTCTAGGCATACTTAGTTCAATATTATAATGAGCCACGTTTACTCTAGGTTACCTAAGAGTCAGCATGGATCAGTGACATTGGACAGTTCTTTTCAAATTTCTCCAAAGAATCTTAGCTGAAACAAAAAGAAAAGCAACTCTGAAGGTACATTAATTCAGGAGTTTGCCTTCGCTAGTGCCTAACACCAATGTCTCTGAGTACCAGAGAGCGCACTTCCTACCCAGATCAGCTGCTTTTTTCTTTTCTTTTCTTTCTTTTTTGATGGAACTGGGGCTTCTTGAACTCAGGGCTTCACACTTGCAAAGCAGGCACTCTACCACTTGAGCCAAACCTCCAGTCCGTTTTTGCTCTGGGTAGTTTTGGAAATAGGGCCTCGAAAACTATTTCCTTGGGCTGACCTTGAACTGCACTCCTCCTGACCTCAGTCTCCTAAGTAATTAGGATTATAGGCTAGAGCCACTGTCACCCAGACAGACCAGTTTCTTTCTTTTTTCTTTTTTATTATTCATATGTGCATACGATGCTTGGGTCATTTCTCCCCCCTCCCCCTCCCCCTTCCCTTACCACCCACCCCGCCCCATCCCTGTCCTCCCCAACCCCTCAATACCCAGCAGAAACTATTTTGCCCTTATGTCTAATTTTGTTGAAGAGAGAGTATAAGCAATAATAGGAAGGAACAAGGGTTTTTGCTAGTGGAGATAAGGATAGCTATACAGGGAGTTGACTCACATTGATTTCCTGTGCGTGTGTTACCTTCTAGGTTAATTCTTTTGATCTAACCTTTTCTCTAGTTCCTGGTCCCCTTTCCTATTGGCCTCAGTTGCTTTTAAGGTATCTGCTTTAGTTTCTCTGCGTTAAGGGCAACAAATGCTAGCTAATTTTTTAGGTGTCTTACCTATCCTCACTCCCTTGTGTGCTCTCGCTTTTATCATGTGCTCAAAGTCCAATCCCCTTGTTGTGTTTGCCCTTGATCTAATGTCCACATATGAGGGAGAACATACGATTTTTGGTCTTTTGGGCCAGGCTAACCTCACTCAGAATGATGTTCTCCAATTCCATCCATTTACCAGCGAATGATAACATTTCGTTCTTCTTCATGGCTGCATAAAATTCCATTGTGTATAGATACCACATTTTCTTAATCCATTCGTCAGTGTGGGGCATCTTGGCTGTTTCCATAACTTGGCTATTGTGAATAGTGCCGCAATAAACATGGGTGTGCAGGTGCCTCTGGAGTAACCTGTGTCACAGTCTTTTGGGTATATCCCCAAGAGTGGTATTGCTGGATCAAATGGTAGATCAATGTTTAGCTTTTTAAGTAGCCTCCAAATTTTTTCCAGAGTGGTTGTACTAGTTTACATTCCCACCAACAGTGTAAGAGGGTTCCTTTTTCCCCGCATCCTCGCCAACACCTGTTGTTGGTGGTGTTGCTAATGATGGCTATCTAACAGGGGTGAGGTGGAATCTTAGTGGTTTTTAATTTGCATTTCCTTTATTGCTAGAGATGGTGAGCATTTTTTCATGTGTTTTTTGGCCATTTGAATTTCTTCTTTTGAGAAAGTTCTGTTTAGTTCACTTGCCCATTTCTTTATTGGTTCATTAGTTTTGGGAGAATTTAGTTTTTTAAGTTCCCTATAATTCTGGTTATCAGTCCTTTGTCTGATGTATAGTTGGCAAATATTTTCTCCCACTCTGTGGGTGTTCTCTTCAGTTTAGAGACCATTTCTTTTTTGAGCAGAAAGCTTTTTAGTTTATTTGAGTCCCATTTATCTATGCTATCTCTTAGTTGCTGTGTGCTGGGGTTTCGTTGAGAAAGTTCTTACCTATACCTACTAATTCCAGAGTATTCCTACTCTTTTCCTGTATCAACTTTTAGAGTTTGGGGTCTGATATTAAGATCCTTGATCCATTTTGAGTTAATCTTGGTATAGGGTGATATACATGGATCTAGTTTCAGTTTTTTGCAGACTGCTAACCAGTTTTCCCAGCAGTTTTTGTTGAAGAGGCAGACAGGCCAGTTTCTAAACATAATTTGCTAATAAAAAGAATGAAAGCTCCTTGGAGAAATAGTTGATTCCAGGTCTGGGGCAGATAAAGTAAGTAGAAGATGAACTTGGGACAAACATCTCATTATTCTAGAAAGTAAAGAAGTGCTCAAAGAATGATGGAGCAAAAGGATTAAAAAACTAGTTTGAACAGGCACTTAGTGACCAAAATGGGGACAATTTGAGCAGCAAATTGTAAATTATTATAATGTATTATAACTCACTAATAATACAGGAATATATGACTCCAGGAAAATATGAATTTAAAAAATTAATAAGTTTAAAATCTGATGAGAAATGAAATATTTCCATAGTATATAAGTATCTTTACACAAAATACTCATTAATTTCAAAGGGGAAAAGCATAATTGCAGAGTGGAGAAAGGTGACTGCAGTGGACTGATGTGTCTCTGTTCTAATTCCCAGAACCTGTGAATTGTACCTTCTTTGGAAAAACAGCCTTTACAGATGTCATGAAGCTGAGGACCTTCAGCTGAGGAAATCATCTTAAATTATTCAAATGGGGTCTAAATTCAATGACAAGACACATAGAAGACATGGAAGAGAAGGAAACGTAAAGATGGAAGTTATGTGGCTACAAGCCAAGGAACATCAAAGAATGCTCAACAGTCACCAGAGGAACAGATTCTCCACTAGAGGCTACAGAGGGAGACCGGTCCTGCCGCACCTTGATTTTGACTGTTGTCCTCTAGAACTCCTGTTGTTTAAAGCTGTGAGTTGTGGTCACCTGTTACAAAAGGCACAGGGCACGAATGCACTGGTAGTCACTACCTTTAAGCAAGTGAGCAACATGAACATTCTCAGGAATAGAACAAATCAAAACCGTGCACCTGCCATGAGCGGTGGTAAACATCTGTAATCCCAGCATTTGGGAGGCTGAGGCAGGAGGATCTCAAGTTTGAGGCCAGCCTGGGCTGCCAAGCAAGACTGTTTCAAAACAAGAACTACAACAACAACACATACACAAAGCCCTTGGTTCTATTCCCAGCACCACACACACACACACACAAGTTACAACAAAAATCATCTACCACTTGATAGGATGGAAAGAGAGGGATACAGTGTTGTCCATGCAACATTCCTGCTAAAGACAAAAATCTGAATCTAGTCATGAGAATACACCAGACAAACCCAAATTGAGGGCCATTCTATAAAATAATTAGACTGCAAGCTTCAAAAGTGTCAGGGTCTTAAAAGTCAAGGAAAGACTGAAGAACTATTTCAGATTGAAGGGAGCTAAAGAGATGTGCAATGAGGAGGGAAAAAAATGAGAAAGAAAGAGAAGGAAAAACACCTCTGAAATCTGATTGTCTTTTTTGGGCTAGGATAGAGTTCAGTGGTACAGCACTTGCCTAAGGTCCTGGGTTCAATCCCCAGCACCAAAAAAGAAAAGACAAAAACAAAACCATAAACAACGACTGGGGATGTCGCTCAGTGGTCATGCACTTTCCTCCTGCATGCATGGCCATGTGTTTGATCCGAAGCATCACAAAATAGATAAGTAAATAAACAGCAAAATTTTAAAAATGCAAAAGAGAAAAGGGTACCCAACATGTAAATAACTGTATATATATTGCATGTTGTCACAGACTGGAAGGCATATAGATATGGAATATACTGATAAAAAGAAAATATTAAGGACATAGCATTGTATGATTTTTCTGCTCTTAGGGCTTTTTTCTTTTTCTTGTTTTTTGTTGTTATTGTGTTTGTTTGTTTTTTGTTTTTGGCAGTACTGAGGATTGAACCCATGCTCCTAAATTTTTTGAGTTTATTTCAATAAATATGTGCTGAGGCTGGCTAAATGGCAGGCATTGTGCCTGGTCCTAAGGATCCTGAAAAAAGGAACAATGCCAGACTGCAGTCTGCTGGAGAGATGTGTTTAAGTCTAGGATGGAGAGTAAGAACAGGGTGCTACCTCCTAGGATGGAGGCAGAGGGAGGGATGCCTGGCATGTGGTCCCCTTGTTTTCATATTAGGAGTAACTATAATGTTAAACTAATCTCCCTGAAAGATGCTCAAGTCTTGCCTGGATTGGGAGCCCAGAGGAGGGAGAGGAATGTGGAGAATTGAGAAACTACAAAACATGGGCCAAGCTTAGGGCTCAGTCCTGGGAGAGGAGGACCTGGTCTGGAACAGAAGACTATGGGGAGGTTGGGGTGTGGGAAGGGGGGTTGGAATCTCCAGGTGATGTGTGGAGAGATCTGAGGGATCTCTTGAAAGGCCAGGGTGCTCTCATTGGCCATCGTGCACTGTCCCCAGAGGAGACCAAGCCACACAGTCGTGCTGCTTAACCTCATATCCTCATCTGGGCTGCGTACTGAGCAGGGCCCCTGGAGCCATGCCCAATCTGTTTCCTTCTATTCTTTGACAGGAAGCTCCCGAAGAGCCAGCCCCCACCCCCCACACCCCGCCCCAGCACTCCCTCTCTCTTCTCCACTATGGATAGAGTCTCCTCTGAGCAGCTGCTGGCTGGCCACACACCCAGCTGACATGGGGACCACCAGAGCCATGCAGGTGTGCTGGGTGATCCTGGGCTTGCTCCTGCTCCGAGGTAAGAGGTGCCTGCCACTTTCCTCTAGAAATTCCCACCTGTCCCTCCGCCCACACCAAACAGGTTTCCCATCCAGGGCTCTGTCCGCGGGAGGGAAATTCCAGAGCCTTTCTGCCAAGGGCTCATTTTGACTGGGGTGGTGGGCATGACCAGGCAAGAGGTAAAAAAATGATACTGTTAAACCCATTTGTGGGAAGTTTCCCAGAATGAATCGGGTCCGGCATAGAGCCTAGCCCCTGAAATGTGGGAAGTGGCTGGCTGGGTGTGAGATTGAGACCGGAAAGCCCCTTCCAGGCAGGAGAAGCCGGCTGTTACTCCATCGAGCATTCCCTCTGGTCTGTGTGGATACCACAGTCACTCTGTGGACTGTTGTAGCACAAAATTATCTGCATCTTGGCTTTACAGGCAATCGTTGTTTTCTTCTTTTGTATGAAGAGTTGCAACCTGGGAATTCCAAATACTGACTTTAAGCTCCAGTCATAGCAAGAGGGCTTCAGTTTAAACACAAAGAACTATTTACTGCTAGGTGCCAGTGGCTTACACCTGGAATCCTAGCTACTCAGGAGACAGAGATCAGGAGGATCGAAGTTCAAAGCCTGCCTGGGTAAATAGTCCAAGAGACCTTATCTCAAAAATATCCAACACAAAACAGGGCTGGTGGAGTGGCTCAAGCAGTAGAACGTCTGCCTAGCAAGCATGAAGCCCTGAGTTCAAGTACCCTAGTACTGCCAAAAAGAAAGAAACAAAAAAGAAAAGAAAGAAGGAAAGAACTATTTGGGTGGGGGGATGGCCCAGACAATGCATAACATATGTGAGCAAATGTAAAAATGGTTTAAAAAAAAAGAACTATTTACCAAGGAGGTTGTATATTACACAGGGGGTCAGATGAGATGGCAACACCTCTCAGATTGGCTTATGAGTCGTGAAGTGGCTCATAAGGATCCAGTAATTAAGGAGCAGTTGCTGGGAACCATGAGAAGTCCAGGACACTGACTCACAGGGCAGCAACTTCCCTTTGGTCACCCCTCCTCCCTCAGTCCTCTGTGGAAGATTTATGAGGTCGTGCTCCAAGCAGAAGAAAGAGAGTGCCAGAGTGCTCTGATGGGAGAACTAATGGCCCTGCTTGGTGGTATAGTGAAGGGACCTGAATACCAGAATACTCTACTTCCTGGAGAGGTCAGACATTTCTCTGAAAACCCATGGGCTGGGGGTAAAACTGACCACCCTTCCCTGCTCCACACACAGGATAGAGTTAAAGCTTTGAGCTGGGGCTGAAAGATCAGGTTGTGGTGGAAACTGCAGGGGAGGACATGTGAGGAATTTTCACAGGCCTAGATTTCTCCCAGCTTCAAACCCACTGCCCTGTCCCTGGCACATTGCCAGGGCTTCCAAATGCCTGTGTGCTCTCTACCTAAGCCACTATCACCTTCATCCTCTTATCACCTGTTATCCCAAGAGCTAAGAATACTTAACTACCAACTTCACTTTGGTGGACTGAGAAATCCTTTTGGACATATCCATGCCTGAAAAGCGACTCCTCTGTGGGCAGAGTCAGGGCAGTTTTGAAACTTGGAGGATTTGAGAGAATGAGAAGGAAATTTAAATGTCTAGCACTGGTTGAGCATGAACTTTCTGTCAGGTATTGTGTTCGTTAAGTACTTTTATCCATTTTGTTTTCCTCACAACAATTTATGAGGTATTTATTTATTTACTTGTTTATTTATGCTGAGGATGGAGCCTAGGACCTTGTCTATATTAAGTACACATTCTAGTGCACATTCCAGCCCCTCATTTGCATTTTATATATATATATAGAGAGAGATTTTTTTTTTTCTGGTGGGACTGGGTTTGAACTCCAGGCCTTGTGCTTGCTAGGTAGGTGCTCTGTTGCTTGAGTAACTCTGCCTACTCACTTGCATTTGTGGGCTTGAACTCAGGGCCTACACCTTGAGCCACTCCATCAGCCCTTTTTTGTGATGAGTTTTATTGAGAGAAGGTCTTACGAACTATTTGCCCTAGATCCTCCTGATCTCTGCCTCCTGAGTAGCTAGGATTATAGGTGTGAGTCACCAGCTCACTTGCATTTTAAAGAAGAAAAAACTGAGGCCCAAATCAGACAGTGAGTGATAGTGACAGAACTTGAACACAAGCCTATCAGACTCTGAAATCCATGATGTTAACTATCACCATGCTGCTGAGGAAAACAGGGATATATGGTGGGGGTGGACTGGAAGGAAATGAAGCAGGTAGGGGTTAGGATGTGGAGACCAGGAAAATCAGAAATTCCTATGACTAGAGTTCTTTGGTGTCTGTGTGTCCAGTGGTCAGAGGCACTGACCACTGCAGAAATCGATGCTCCCTAAGTCCCTCTCCTACTCACAGAGAATCTTTCAGGTGACAGGTTGGGAGAGGGGGAGAGGACATTAGGCAAAGGGAGGGCAGGCCACTGAGACTTGAGGCTTGTGACTTTGGACCTCTCCCAAGCTTCTAGATCATTTTCTTCCTAGGTAAATGTGGGAAAGTAGTGCTCTGTGACTTCCCGGGCCTTCTAGAACTTAGAAAGTCATAAGGTACGCTCAACCTGATAGTGTTCAGAGTTGCTTTGAACTGACCGGGTTCCCCCAGAATCATCATCAGTTAGAAAGGGTTCTCTCTAGCCTGGGCTTCCTATGAGTTTTAACTCCCTCTGGACCCTTCACTCACAAGGGAATGGGACTGTGAGATCTTAGCCTGGAAAAACATGGCCCAGGGTTTGGGCGAGCTTCAGCTTGGAAACAATTCTACACTATGAAGTAATAGCCCCATGGAGGAAGGTAGTGACTTAAAGAAAATAAACAGACCAGCAAACTGCCACAGGTTGAGTAGGTTCCTGGCATTCAGCTGCCTCTGTCCTCCCAGGCCTGGGTTTTGTGCTTCCCTGATGTGAGAGGCCAAATGAACAGCAGGGCCAGGCCTGGGGGCTGCCATCCCAGCCTGAGTGGAGGGACGGGAACCCAGCTGGGCGGCTCCACTTCCCTGAGTTGTTTTCCTTTCACATTGTTCACAGGTTTCATGAATGATTTCATTGTGGAAAGTGAGCAAACACAACCTGACCTTTCAGGTCTGCCCCCCTGCAACACACACATGTAGTACACATACATCTGCATAGAGGCCCAAGATACACAAATGTACATACAAAAGAGCAAATGAGGGCCTCTGACTGGGGACTCCTGGCAACTGGCTCCTCTCTGAGTTTGGCCAATAATCACCAGTTTGGAAGTAGTCTTGCCTGTGAGAGTAAATTGTGCCCTCCTTCTAGAGCTTTCTTTCCTCCCTTACATGCCTCAGAGCTTGCTTCTTGTGCAAGCCTCTACCTCCCTGACTGGGGAAGGCAGAGAGAGAGCTCCAATACAAGCCCTAAACCCAAACCCCCTTTCATTCACTTTTCCATGTTCCCATCCTTTCCCCTTGGGGCAGGACCAGAATGGCAGTCTTCACAGGAGAAAACAAATGTCTCAACCATACGCTGAACATTAGCCTAGAGACCTACAGTCCTGGGTCCTTGTCCAGACATGGCAAGTCACTTGCCCTCTGTCTTTGAACATGTCACCTGATCTTGTGTCAGGTAAGTGTGATAGCCATGGAGGACTGAAGAGACAGGAAGGAACTCTGGAACTCTGAACCATGAGGTGATGGTGATGGTGCAATTGAGTCACAGTCTTGTAGGAAGCCAGCACTGTGAGCAAGAGCTTACATCCTTCAGCCTTCTGCCAAGTGTGCCTGCTTTCCAGCATGGGGGCTTAGATAGCCAAAAGGCCTGGGTTCTGCTATGGGCTGTGCTTGGCAGGAGACTTACCAAATTTGTCTGTGTTTTGCTTTCTTTTGCAGGCCACAACTCCCAACCCATAGCATCTCAGACCACTCAAGGTAAGACAAACTTGTAGGGCCTGCTCCACGTTTGGGTCTAGGAGTTTAGGAAGGGTGTGAGAGGAGGGAGCTCTGGACCAGTTTCACACTGACCAGGGGTGAATGGGGCTGGGACCAGAGTTCAGCTTGGTCCAGTCTAACATGCCTTGAAAAAGGAGAGGGATGAATGGTTGTTGCTAGATGAGGGTAGGGAGGAAGAAGAAGCTATGAAGAAGAAGAAAGGGGACAGAGCAGTAGGAGGTAGCAGACCCTTAGCATCAGATGATCTGTTTCAGGACTCTTCAGCAGTCTAAGTCTGACCACAGTGCCAATTTCTCCCATCACAGGTGAGTGAGTGGGTGTGGTTGCCCAGAGGGTGACCTCCCAGTTCCCATATCATACCCCCTATCCCCCAGCCGTTCAGACCTGCTTGGAGCCCAGGGGTTCTTTGATGGGTAAGGGAATGTGGTATCACCAAACCCACTTCACCTCCAACTCCCCATACAGGTGCTCTACCACTTGAGCCATGCCCCCAGTCCCTGCGTCTGTTCTTACAGGAAACGAATCTTCCTCAGAATCTGGCAGCCCAAGGCTTCTGCCCAGCACCAGTGCCCCAGGTAACTCTGCCATTGAGACTACAAATGGCACCCAGGGAGGGCCCCATGGGAGAACCAGAGATGGTGTCTAGTCTACAAGAAAATACAGACGTAGGAGAAGGGACAAACAAACAAGGCCTCACACTGGCAATTTCAAAGCAGGGGTAGGGGGCTGAGGGGGCAGGAGCAGAAGGTGCAAGGAGCCTACTTAAGACTTGGGGTCCAGAGATGAATTCCAAAGGGAGTGGCCTCAGGAGCTGAGCCCAAGAAGGAATTAGAAGAACAGGTGAAGACTGTGGAGTGGAGGGTGAGAAGATGTATTCCAGACAGAATAAATCACAAAGATAAAGGTCCAGAGGTAAACCAGAAAATTGTCCCTTCTGGAATTGAAAACAGTAAAGAAAAGGAGGACTTGGGCCTAATGAGCCCTCCCTATGCATGTGCTAGCTGAGGCCCTGAATAGTCCACGCATGTTCCCTAATCCACAGAAGTTCCATATAAGGCCTCACAGGGCCCCCTGGTATCAAGTAAGCATGTAACGCTGAGGTCAAGCACCTTGGATGGTCACTTCCCATCTTGCTGGGTTCTGGTACCAGTCCCCAGCCACAGAAGGCAGACATCAGAACTTGGTGAGTACTCAGGCGTGGGTAGGGCAGTGGTGAAGGGACCCTGGGTTATATCTGAGGTAGGTTTTTCCTTCTTCTTTCTCCTCAGGAGGCCTGGTTCTGGGATCTTGAGGCCAAACCACATCAGTGGGCACCATTGGTGGGAAATATGAGAGAGTTTTGGATGGAGTAGAGACAAGGAAAGTTGGGCCTGGTCATAGTGAAGGTTAAAATAAGCCTGGACCTGCGACTGAAGAAAGGCATAGATAGAGAGGGAGGGAAAGGAAGACCCCCACCCCTAATGAAGGGGAAGGAAGGGCAGAAAATGTTGGGAAAGAGATAGACCCTTCTTGGGATAGGCTGGGAAAGGGGGGGTGCCTCCCATCTTTTTGCCATTTATGCTCAGTGGCAGGCACAGGGCCCCAAATACAATGCAGCAGCGGCAGCAGGCAGCAGCACAGCGCAGCAGCGCACAAGGGGGAGGTATGGTCCTGTGTGTGCTCACAGGAAGAGGAGTAGTGGAAAAGGTGGTCTGTGGACCCTTCTCCAATCTGGTTTTTCACCAGTCCCAGATTTATTTGGGAAGGCGATGAAGATGAGAAAAGACAAGAAATGGAGTAGCAGTCAGGCTGAAGTGCAGTGAGATGAGCAAGGGAAGAAAGGGGTGGACATGACCCTTTTCAACGAGAGCCAGAAAGTGCCCCTACTTGGCAGGCCTGGCTTTGTTGGGCAATGCCTAAGGATAAGCATTTGGCACCTTTCTTTCCTCCTGTTTTAAACCCTTGCAGGAACATAGATGACTCGTGGTCTTGCCAGGTCTGGCTTCCATCTCTGCAGCATAAATTCCCATTTCTTGCTATGGGCCCAGGGGTGTTAGGAAAACACTGACCTTCTGGACTCCCATGGAACCAGGAATATAAACAACCAAGCAGTGTGTTCACATGGGACCCCACGTGTCCACAGTTTTGACCTCTTGTCCTCATGGGGTCAGAGGGCAGAGAGAAAGGTGTTTTTGGTAGGATGTGAGCAATGTTGCCCTTCTTACCTGGGAGAAGCAGGAGGAAGGTAAGCTTGGTCTCTGGTAGGCTGAACCCTACTTTGTTTCAGAAAACATCCTGCAAAATGGCTACTCCCAGTGTCAATCACCATGAGGCCTAGGACAAGGGGAAGACTTGGCTTACCTACCCAGCCCCACATCAGAGACGGTGCTCACTGTGGCTGCCTTTGGTAAGAGAAGGAGGGAAGGCTAGGACATGGGAAAGTGACCACCCCTGAACTGACTTGGACTCTGGGTCGGGAGCCAACCAAGTTCCAAATCTTAGTTATTCCAGGAGGGATAGGTCAATTGAGCAAGACCCTTGATGTAAAGGAGGCTCCACTGTGTTGCCAAGCAAGACTTGGCTCTGCTGGGTGTTCATGTGCTAATGAAGAATGGCACTGGGCTAAGGAGCCCACTCTGCTAGGGGCATCAGGTAAACAGCTCATTTTATTCTGCTAGAGAATTGGACATTCACTTTGTTTCCAGAGCTGTTTATATAGCACTTAGCTAGGAAGGCAATGCTGTCCCCTTTCTACCTCCTTCACCTTGTCTTTTCCCTGTTCAGGTGTTATCAGCTTCATGTCATCCTGTGTGGTCGTTGGTGATCATCCTAGTTGGTGTGGTCAGTCTCAGGTTTAAGGTGTCGGTTAAAGAACAAAGAGTCTGAAGGGTACGGGTTGGACCTGCTGGCCTCCCTTTGCCCAGTGCTTGAAGGAACCCAGAGCTACAGGCCAAGAAACTGACACCCAAGCCTGGGCTGCAGGAAGGAATGGCACATAGCATCTGTTGTTTTTTGGGGGGAGGGTCCCTTGGATGGGCTTTGGAGGGAAAAGCTGGGCTTCCTGAGTTACAGCATGAAACCCTAGTCTGTGCCTTTGGGTTTTTACAGGATCCCAAAAGCCAGGAAGTTCGGGATTATCTGAAAGTAAAAGACTGTCAGGAGCCATAGAAGAGGAATCTTCCATCTAAACCCCTTTCAATCCCCATTAGGCCAAGAGGAAAATCTTTCTGCTTTCACATACCCCACCCCCACACCATACCAAACCACGTGTCACCACATACCCATCACACCACGTACACCATACAAGTGATGTTCACAAACACCCCCACACCACCCACCATACCCTACATACCCTACTACCACAAGTGTGCAAACCACATGTCACACATGAATATAACACACACACACACCCCACGCATACCATACAAACCCATTGCCATAACAACACATCCACATTGGCACACCACATTATCTCACATGTACAGAGGACACCCCACACCACACAATCCTGCGGCCTGCTACTGAGGCTGGGCAGATAGTAGGGCCAGGACAGACCTGAGGAAACAATCAAGTGAGCAGAAATGGGATAACTCTTCAGGCCCTAGAGCTAAACTTCTGTTTGCCCCTTTCATGAAAACTGTAGGGAAATGCGATTTAATATAAGTTGTGTTCCCCCTCTAGCTGAGGGAACCTCTTTTTTGCTTACCTACTATGTGCCACCTACATTGGCAACAATAATTTATAGTGTTATCTCAAACCTTTATAGTAATTTTCCAAGGAGATTGTGACTTTCATTTATACAGTGGGTTGAAAAATGCGAGGCTTAGGAGAGTTTTCAAACTCAAATAAAAATCAAATAAGTAGTTAAAAACAAACAAACAACACAAGCCAGCCACCATTGGTTCATGCCCTGTTAATCCTAGCTACTCACGAAGCAGAGATCATTAAGAATCAGCGTTTGAAGTCAGTGCAGGGCAAAAAAAGGCCCATTACAAAAAAGGGCTAGCAGAATACCCCTCAAGTGGTAAGAGTGAAATTGTGACACCCTGAGTTCAAATCGAGTACCATCAAAACAAACAAAAAACAGGATTTAAATACAAGTCTTTCGGAGTTTCAAAGTACATTCTCCATTTCATTATGGTCCCACTCCAAATAACAGGACTTTTTTTGAAAAACAAAAAAGTTCAAGTCAGGCACCAGTGGTTCCATGCCTAAATCCTAGCTACTTGAGAAGCTAGAGATAGGCGAGGGTCACCCATGGTTGGAGACCACCCAGGCAAATAGTTCTTGAGACCCCCCATCTCCAAAATAACTGTGCAAAAATGGACTGGGAAGGTGGCTCAAAGCAGTAGGCACCTGCCTAGCCAACAACCATGAGGCTCTGAGTGGCAAAGCCCAGTCATTCTCCTTCCCCCCACAAAAGCTTCATTTCAACACTTCACTGTCTCTATTCCCTGTGGCACTGCCCCCTCCTCTCTCTCCTCTCTGTAACTCCTTTTTCCTTTCCTACTTTCAGCTGTTCCACGGCCAATGGAGAGAAGGGAACAGAATCACCCTATCTCTGTTGAAGAATATAAACCACGAACAACAGCAAGCTGCCCCTCAGCAGAGAAGGTGCATTTTTCTGTTTCCTTCCTTCCTGCTCCCAAATTCATCTCGCCCTCCTGCCTCCCACTTTCAGGCTCTGCTTCCTTAACCAGGAAGGCTAAAGGTCATTTTCAAAAACCCGAGCTTCTTCTCTAGCCCCATTACCCTTTCCCCAAGAAGTTTACCCTTCCCTACTGTGTGTTTATTTTTCAGGTTCTTTAAAAATTGATTTTGGTTCCCATGGATGCAAGGATTGCAGCCACCCTGAGACTGTGAGGAGGAAGAGATGAGAACAAAATCACATATAAATCTATTTATGTTTCATGTCTGCCTCTCTGCCCCAAAGGACACTGGCAATTCCTCGTTGATCTAGGAGCAAGCCACTCATGTTGAGAGTCTCCGTTCCACGTGGAAGCCACTTCTAGAAATATAACCTACTCCTCAGAATCACAGGAGCTGATGATGAACAAAAGCAAGGAAATGATTGAGGTGTAAGATCCTTTCTACTTTCATTAAAATTATTTTGTCTGGTCTGCAATCTAATTTCTTTAAGGTTATAGTCCCATACATATTGACTTCTTTTTTTTTTTTTTTTGTTCTTTTTTTTGGAGGACAGAGTCTGCTATTGCAGCCCAGGCTGGACCTAGAACACACTGACCTCAAAAACTCGTAATCCTCCTGTCTCAACTCCCAAGTGCGGGGATTACAAGCTTGTGGCCACCACAACCACTTGCCATGCACATTTCTTAACAGAGTATTCTAGCTACACTGGGGCCTTCTTCCATAGGCCAGGCATGAATGTGTGTTTTCTGCCCCCTGGGCACTCGCTGAAAAATTGAGTAAGGTAAGGGACTTTTTTGTAAGGTCTCCCTTTGTTACCTAGTTTATTATGTAGGGTTGAACACTGGACTAACCACCCTCATAGAAAGAGAAATTAAGAGATTGGCAAATAAGTGACCAATCATCATCAACAATTGAAGTTTTACATTCTCTCCACCAGAGCAAGGAACTTGGGGAAATACAGTGCATTTTTGTGTTCCAGTTGGTGAGGGGTATATGATATGAAGATAAATGTCTTCTGCCTGCCCCAGGAGGGATGGCATTTCACTTTGGTTCTAGCCATGGGATGAGCACTGGTAAGATTTGTCTAAGACAGGTCTTGTGACTTCATAAATCCAAAACTCCTCTACTTTTACCTATTTCAGCTTTTATGTCTTGTACCCAGAAATAGAATTAAGGACCCAAGATTTACTTGTGAAGGCATTTTTAAAAAGAGGAAAATGAAGAACATATTTGTTCTTCTTGGAAATAGGCAACACAGGTTTGAAAAATAAATCTTGGTGAGAAGAATCACAGGAAGAGTTGTTTCTTGTGTGTATGTTGCAAGGAGTGTTTAATATTATAGCTTTCCGCTAATCAGCATTTATAACACAAGACGTAGCTTACTCACTTGCAGCAACAATTATTGCTATTTTATTCTAAAACTTTAGACTTATAACATGATTGAGAAAAAAAGCCTATAACATTAAAACTGTTAAATGAAAACTGCGAGAAAACCGACTGACTTCTACAATTTTCTAGTGCAGGCTCGCTGGCACACTGCTACGTTCTTAGTTAATAAAGATGGGATTGTGACCGTGAAGAAATCGGGCGCCATAAGGCTAGGCTCTGCCACGTCTTGCAAGCTTAACTTTTGGGGAAAATCACCCCTTTTTGCCCCACCTG